ATATATGATGTGGGAGAAGTGTACATTCTTATGTTCTCTCCACAAATGACAGTAGTCTGACTATGATTCCTATTAGGACATGGCCCTGGCAGGATAGAAGCCAGGATGATGGAAGAGGTGGTACCAGAGGAACTCTGGTTGTATCTAATGTAATTTTAAGATGACAATATTATGTCTGTGCCAAGCAGGGTGGTAAACTTGGCTGAACTTTCCAGTCTATTCCTTCAGAATCATAATTATAGAAAACAAATTTCCCGTGGAGGTTCCTTTACCTGAGAGGTAATTTCAGCACTTCCAGCATCTTACATGCATTCACTAAATCTTCTGGTGAGAGCAACTATTGGGAAAAAGAAACCAGTTTACACTGCAAATTAATGATGTGAAGCTACACACTGTATTGATCACAAAACAGAACAAGAAATTTTAAAAATTATCACTTAAGGATTTTAGGTGCCTTAATCATTATAATGCAAAAAGGGATTAACAAATCACAGTAGTCTGACTATTATTCCTATTAGGACATAGCCCAGGCAGGACGGAAGCCACGATGATGGACGACTGTGGTACCAGAGTACTCGGCAGAACCCTGGACACTGAGCTAGATTTCAGTCATTAAAGTAATGCTATTCATAGAAATGTAATACAGGCCATATACATAACTTTAAAACTTCCAACCACTACATAAAAGGTTAAAGGGCTGGAAACATAGTTCAGTGGTACAGCATTTGCCTAGCATGGGCAACGCCTTGAATTCAGTCTCCAGTACCACACAAAAATTTGTTTTGAGATATTGACATTTAACTTTATTTTGTACTAAGCATTACAAGTTCATAATTGTCCCAGATAGCTAACCAGAACCTATCCTTTTGGGTAGTGGTGGGGACATGCACAGCTGTGAGTCACACAGGATGGGCTCCAGAGCCTACCAGGCCCAGGTCCAAATCCCTGTTAAAGCACTTACCAGGCATGGTCTTGATCAAATTATTTAACTGAAATCTCAATTTCCCCATCCTCAAACTATCCCTGAGACAAGGATAACAAAGTGGGTGCCTCTCTAAATTCCTGGGGGGGGGGGCAAATGAGGTAACATAAAGAATGCCTTGTGGCTAATAAGAACGTAGCGATGACAGCTGTGATACTATTCAAATAAAGACAACAGAGGCTGAACCTGTGAAACTGGAATGAGGCTGGAAAAACGTGTGAGTCATGTGCACAGAGGCAACTGCTGACTCTCAGTGCTACACCTGACTGCTGGGGCACAGAGCACTGGGCAGGACCCTGGACACCGAGCGCTCCCAGCCCCTGAAGATAAGACATCCAAGCAAGGCTTTCCCTCTGCACCATCTATGTGGCAATCTGTGTCCAGCCAAGTTAATGCAAGAGGAAACTACTGTGGAGAATAGGATTCCTGCACAGCTTCACTCGTGACTACACAAACACAGAATGAAAGTACCACTCAATCCAAATCCTTACCTTCAAGGTAAGAAACTGAGTCTGGGAGAAGTTAAGTAAGCTACCCAAGGTCAGACAGCAAACCACTGACAAACCATAGCTTCGAAGAGAGCTCAGCAGCACAAACCCCTGCTTGGCAAGCGCAAGGTCCTGGGTTCGATCCTGGGTACATAACCTACCTCTAAGCTCCCAAAGCAGTATTCTTTCACCACTCCACATGGCTTCTCAAAATAACTCTGACATTCATATCTCTTCCTCAAATTGTGTTCGCTTTGGGGGAATTTCTATTACATCAAGAAAGTCTATATTTAGCTACCAGTATCTAAATATGGTATTCTTACTTCCATTCCTCGAGCTCGGTTTACTAAACAGTACACCTCTGTGAGTGACATTATTCCCCCTCGCTCCTGTTAAAATATGAAAAGTAAGTAAAATGAGCACCAGTAAGCATTTCTTAGCAAAAATCATAATCAGAGCAAAATCAAAAATCAGAAAAATTCTTAAATTTATACAATTTTCTTGTGTACAAGGTGACTGAAAAATACATTGAGTATTTAAACTTATAAATTTCTTATAGTGCAAGACAAACTGTCATTAATCTGCCTTACAATACTCCTCTTTGAACACTCTTACCCTGTTGCTCTTGTCACTTCCTGAAGCAGTTCTGGAAGCCTTCTTTTATGAGTACCTTTGGTTACACTATTATGGCTACTTCAATGTCCTGAATTAATTTAATGCATTTACCTTTCATGGTCATTTTGACTTTGGGGAAGAGCCACAAGTCAGACAGCACCAGATCCAATGAATAATGTAGATGCTGTAAATGACAGATCAATGAAGAGTGTTCAAAAATGTTTAAATTAAAAAATGTATTACAGTAAAAGACATGTTGCCATCAATACCCTCAAAATATCCCCCTCCCTTCAAACACAATTATACCACTGTTCTTGCTAATGTGTCTTTTACTGTAATAAGTTTATAAAATTTAAACATTCAATGTATTTTTTCAATCACCACATATCTCTCAAAATTTCAGTATCTGCACTGATGTCGTTATTTGTGTTTTTTCATTTACTTAAATGAGAAAGGGCTTATGTCATGTTTTAAAAGTACACTTAAATGTTTTAAGGTATTCCAACCAATAAATAAAGATGAATAATTCTGCCATTCTGCAACCACTGATGAACAGATCTAGCGTAGTAAACATCAACAACTGCTGACAGTATGAAAAAAAGGGACCATCAATATTATCTACCTCCTGACTAAAGTGCATAGCACCCTCATGAAATATTCTCGAAGAAAGTTTACAGTCAATACATGGCATATGAAACACTGAAGTTTCTTCAAAATAAATTCTAGGAGTTGGGAGAAAGAAAGAGGAATGGAAAATCCATAGAGCAACAACAATAAAGCAAATCCAAACAGAAAACACAGATCAATCACTGTAATTTTTTTTACAAAATGTAAACATTAACTAGGTATTTCATGACACTAGCGATTTAAATTGGGGGATATGAAATGAAATTACATTTGCATGTAAAGGAGTTTTTATTATTATAGTTACTGAAATACTTATAGATAAAATAATGTGATGTCTGGGATTTGCTTCAAAATAATTTTGATTAGACAATGGTTCACAGACAAAGCTGGGTAACAGACATACGGAGATTCATTATATTATTTGTCTTGGCATATGCTTGAAGTATTTCTTAATACACGTTGTTTAATAAAACTTTGATCACCCGAATACTGCCAGATTAAATACATATTATGGAATTATTAACAGTAGGCTAAACGTTAACAATCAGGTATATAGAAATAGATCTATACAGACAGCTCATATGTTTCTTTTGAAAATAAAACCTTTCTATCAAATAGATTTAGAAAGTTATAGATATCTGAAAGGCCAATAAAATGTAATTTTGAAGATTCCAAAAACTTATTAATGTAAACTAAGCTAATTTTAATATTCTTGAAATAAAAAGTCAATTGATCATAACCACATCACGAAAGGAGCCTTGCCCTTAAGACTTCTGATGACTGGGACATAATTAACAGTTTTTAAAGTACCCTTAGGTTTGGTTTTACCTCTAAAGGCGCCTGCAATATTCCAGCCAGCTGTTTGGCCAGCTGCATGTGGTACTGTGTGCCTGAGCCGTAGGTTTCCCTGGTAACTGGGTTAGCTATTCCCATGCTCAGCAAGTAGGACTTAAACCTGATGGTCTATAATGAGAGGAAAAATGCAAAGAAAGACTGCATGATTAGTCTCCCCACCCCAACATTTGAAATCTTTTATCATAAATCCAACTGCGCTCAATTAATTCTCTATATACCCATTTCTTCTACTGTGTTTCCATGCTGTGAACTGTAAGGTAATGCATGCATAAGTAGTTCACTGCAAAAATCTATTCTCCTTCCTTCTTCTAATATGGTCTGTTTACTTCCCACATTTCATGTGAGAGAACATTTAGGTAACAACTACTTTATATTTAATATCAACCAAATGATACAACTGAAAACTTAAAAAGAAATACAGGTATGTCCATAATGTAGACAAATTTCATTAAGAGACATCAAGTTTAGGGATATATATAAAACAGACACTACAGCCAAGCAAACACCTATAATCCCAGCATCCCTGGAGACTGAGGCAGAAGGACTACAAATTTGAGCCCAGCTGAAAATCTTAGCAAGAGTCTGTCTCAATATAAAAAATAAAAGAAGGGGTTGAGGATGTAGCTTAGTGAAAAAGCCCTAGGTTTAATTCCCGGTACCAACAAAAGAAAAAAAAAGCAAACTGGTAAATCACAAAAATGTCACTGCTATTGATGTTATTATTGTAATCTGCCTTCCAATGCCTTATGAAAATATATTGGGGCTGGGGAGGCAGCTCAGTGGTAAAATGGTTGCCTATATGCACAAGTCCCTGAGTTCAATCCCCAGTACCACAAAAAAAAAAAAAAAAAAAAAAAAGAAAGAAAATGAAAAGCATCTTAGCATCTTTACCTCATCTTCTGTAATGTCACCTTGCTTTTCTTTAATTTTATTAGCAATTGATTTTGACAATTCCACCATTTCTTTAGCCTGTCAAAAGAAAAAACTAAAAAGAAATAATGTCCCCAAAATATCTAACAAAATATATATTTGCAAAATGGTATTATAACTGGTATGAATGTCAGAGACATAATGTGGTGTATACCTTGATCATTAGCTTGCTGAGGTCTTCAAAGGCCTGAAATGAAGAAAGGAGTTTTTGTTGGAATCTGTCTAAAGAATTAACATTTTAAAACAATGAAGCAATTGCTCTCTATTTTTTCCCTATGATATAAATTATAGCTTTCTTAAAAATATAATTAATAATTATATAATACATGTACTTTATAAATAACATTAGCTAAGAAAAGCATGTATTTTCTAAAAACAACAAAAATGTCAAACTTTCAAAGAGATACTTGTTATTATTGATCAAACATAAAAAATAATACATAGTTTGCAAAATAGCACTCACTTTTTAAACACAATTAAGAAAATATGTCCCTAGTTTTCCTCTTCAAAGGTCAAAAATCAAAGGCATTACAAGATAGTTAAGATAGTTATACTACTAATTTCTCTTGGTTCATTCAAAAGAAAGATTTGTACTTACACTGTTTGGACAATTAAATGCCTAATTAAAGCATTTGATACTATATATTAGTACTCTGAATAATTTAAACAAACTATGCAATGTATTAACCACTGTTAGCCTCCTATTACCTTGTTTTCCATTTTGGGGCTTTTTCCTCTTTAAAAAAAAGAAGTTAAAGAAAAAAATAAAAGCATTGTGAACTTTTCCTGGCTGAAGATGGTGAATCACAGCTGCAGTAATATTTTGGGGGGGAACATTAATTTTTATTTTAATAGCAGGTATGACTGAACTGAGACAGTAAGCCTCAGCCTCTGAAAGATAAGCCCTTTACAGTCATGGATGCGGTGGCTCTCAGACACAAAAAGGCCTTCATTCCAGATGTTGTGTCCTATGCCTATAATCCCAGTACTCAGAAGGCAGGAGGATCATGGCAAGTTAGATACCAAACTGGCTGCATAGTAATTTGAAGGCCAGCCTGGACTACATAGAAAAATTCTGTCTCAAAAATTAAAAAAAAAAAAAAAAAAGGTGGACCTGGTGATATATACTTAGAATCCCAGCACTCAGGAGGCTAAGGCAGGAGGATTGCTGAGCTTCAGGTCAGCCTCAACTACAAAGTCAGTTCAAGGCCAGCCTGAACTGCTTAGTGAAACCCTGTCTCAAAAAGACCAGAAAGGGGTAGGAAGGTTTGGGAATATAGCTCAGGGGCACAGTGCCTGCTTGGCATGAACAAGGTCCTAAATTCAATTCCTAGGGGCCGGGGAGACTGCTCAGTGGAATAAGCGCTTCTCTGGCAAGCGCAAAGGCCTGAGTTCAATCCCCGGTTCTGAAAAAAAAAAAGATTCCCAGTACCCACCCCCCCAAAAAAGCATCTGAATACCATTAAACATATCCAAATAAAACTCATCCATTGTGCTCGCTTCGGCAGCACATATACTAAAATTGGAACGATACAGAGAAGATTAGCATGGCCCCTGCGCAAGGATGACACGCAAATTCGTGAAGCGTTCCATATTTTTTTGAAACTGTCTCATTGCTATATGTTTATCAATAAAACTTTGAAAAGAAAGAAAAAAAAAAAAAAGAAAACATGTAGGCAGCTAAGACCCTGTCTACAACAAACCACTTACTAAAAAAAAAAAAAAAAAACTCATCCATTGTTTCATTTACTACAACAAATATTGCAGGCCTCTTCTAATTTAATCAGGCATGTTTCTAATACATAGTTTCAAGTTACTGAAAATATATCCCCAGTATAGAATTTCTTGTCTGATAGGCATAGATGTTATTTTTAAATCACTTAAACAATGAAAAATCAGTCTACATAGTGGCCTGATACATACAGTATAATCAAGGCTCCGATCAGCTTATGCCCATCTGCAGGAAAGTGCTCCTCATCTGCTAAGGGGCTTTGCTAAAAGAATAGAGTACAATGTAGGATTCTAATGGCCAACTCACTAAGGCTTACAAGGAAAACAAAGGGGGATGTGCACACACCTAACAGGAATTTCCTCAGAAAAACACAAAGCTCAAAGAACGGATTCTTATCAGCAACCACCAGCAGATGCAGGAAACGCCCTGTAGGAAGCTCTGGGCATGGGCTCTGAAACTAAGTCAACTCCAGTGTTTAATGAGGGGCAAGTAACACAAATTTCACATACTTTTTACTTTTGACTATATAAAATGTTAATAGATTTGTTTCACTTGTGTAAAGAAAATTAATGAACAGGATTTTATATAGTAATTCATTCTATTTTCAAAGGAAAACAGTCACAAACAATGAATTTACATAAAATCACCTATTAACCTTTATTGATTATAGTCAATAAAAAGAAATATAAATATTATGCTTTAGAATTGGGCCGGGGAGATAGCTCAGTAGAATATAATGAGTCCTGAGTTCAATCCCCAGTAATGCAAAAAAAATAAAAATAAAAACTTTAAGTTATAATTACTTAAGCACAAATAAAAGCTTCCTTGCTTTTGTCTGTTACTGTAAAACTTGAAATTAACCAACTAACAAAATATGGGTGGGAAATTACAATAAAAATTAAAACCTGCTATAGTGGCACAGCGCTCGGGGCCACACAGGGCGATGGCCGTGAGTTTCAGGCCAGCCTGGGCTACATAGTTTGAGACTAGCCTGATCTACACAGTGAAACCTCGGGAAAAAAAAAATAAATAAAGGAAGAGGGAAGATGCACAAACCCAGTCTATTATCTTATCTGCCAGTTTAGAGAAACTTTTACTACACTTACAGTCAAATGTCCACTCCCCATCGAGTGTGTGTGTCTATTCGGGGTACTGAACTCAGGACCTTCTGCTTGCCAGGCAGGCACTTATGTCAAGCTATCTCCCTGGCCCTCTACTCCAAATCTGACAAACATGGTATCCGTATTAAAACCACAGATAGCTTCAAAAGCTGACTTACAGAATTGTTTTGTTACTGACTTTCAGCCATTACTTTAGTTATCAGTTTCAGTGACTATTAATATATTCTTTAATTTCCACTTTTAATGCTTCTGTACCTTTGTATATTGCGTCCACTCTACCTGCACTTGTTTTATCCCTTCTAGTGACTGCTAGCACCTACTCATCTTCTAGGCCTTGAATTCTATGAATTTAATTTATTTTTTTTTGAGACTGGGCCTTGCTGTATAGTACAGGATGGCCTTAAACTCACTATGTAGCCCACACTGGTTAGGCCTTAAGTTCTACATTGGTGCTATTACCAAGCCTTCCTTGTCTCCAAAGGAAATTGCGGTGTGTGCTATATGTTCCTGCTAGAGCCTCGCTTTCTCCTCACAAGGGGCTTCTCCCACAGCGCCTGTTTGCTTGCTCTCACCTGGACCAGGACCACAGTTCCCACAGCGTCCCCAGCAGGGCTCAGCGGAGTAGAGACAAGACCCACCTGCTGAATACATCAATGACTACAGGACAGAGCACAATGCTGTAGAATCCCTAGAGCAACACAACTCCCTAAGAATTAAGACTGGGCTGGAATATTTCACATCATAAATTAAGAAAAACTTTATTTTAAACATAATGCCAAGTTAGTATAACAACATTTTAAAAAAAAGGATACAAATAATGTAAAATACAAGTAATACAATTTGATGCCATCTTCCTAAGAAAGTGTCAACACACAGAGGATGGCACTGGGTGTTGCTGAAAGAGGACAGTGTCAGCGCCTCCTGGGTGACGAGAAGAGCGATGCTGACGGCAGACTGGGTGCTTGCCTGCAAAGCAGCAGGGCGGGGTGCTCAAGCCTTTGGTGCCAGATCTAGGCAGTCATCTACAATTTCTTCACTGGAGAATAAGAACCCTTCAAATGCTAGGCTGTCCAGACTGCTCAGAAATTAGAGACTCCTGAAAATATGGGAAGTATGACAGCATAGTTTTTTGATCTCTCTAAATCCCAGCATAAAAGCAGACTGGGCAAATAGGTCGCAAGACCAAATGTCCACAGGTAACCCACACTACCAAACTAAATGTCAGGGTACAGGCAAATGCCCAAGATACAAGCAGAGAAAACAAGAGTGACAAAACTGTATGATACCAGTGTCAAGGTAGAAAAAAAAAAAAGGAAGCAAAAGTGTTACTGACGGATCTATGCAAAGATAACATCAAAAAACCCAAGAAGGTATCCACTAGAAAACAAGCCAGGCCAAAGGGAGGAGTGCCTAACACAGAGAGGGTCTCATCCATGTCAATGGTGGGTGGATGCCCAGTGTCCCCAGTAGGGACAAGAGGAAATGAAGGAACCTGTAAATACTTGAAACTGACCTGCCAGGCACCACTTCCAGAAACCCATAGTGGGGAAAAGGCACTGAAAAAGGAATCAAAAGTGAAGGAGGTACATATACGGAGTATTTAGGTCCAGTTAAGAACAAGGATAGGAGGGCCAGCAAGACAGCTCAGTTGACTAAGCATTTGCTTAGGCAAGCGCAAGGACCAGGGTTCAATCCCTGGCACCACATGCCGTGCTGGTCCCACTCCTGGATGCGCTGAGCTGGCCACCAAGTTCAGCCATAGTGGTGCACAGTAATCCCAGCACTGAGGAGGCTGAAAACAGGAGGATCACTATGAGTCTGAGCTACATAGTGAGACCCTGTATCAAATATATTTAAAAAAAGAAAGGATATGAGCAGGGCAAAGCATCACTGAAAGCAAAGTAGCTGAGGAGAGAGAAAGCTGTGTGCAGGATGAAAGCTACCATGAAGGAGGCCTTCCTCGAAAAGTTCAGGGAACTAACTTCACATGAAATGAGCCACAGCAAAGGAACAAGGTCAAATCCTACATAAGTTTATTATAAGAAAAAACAAAACATGGAGTACAATAACACTGCGTACAATAAAAGCATGCCCCAAAAATATACTTATGGATCAAATCAAAATGTAACCTTGTATTTCAAAACAAGCTAAAAATGTTAGTATAATGATCCAAGTTATCAATGGACAATGTCAAAGAGAAGTGAAGTGTGAGATTAAAAACATTTTAAATTATTTTGGAACTAAAGCCAACAGACATTACATAAAACTAAATAAATAATATGAGAAAGATAAGAAAGTGGATTTTTTTTCTAAATAAAAAAGATAAAAGGCATTTGAAAGAAAATATAAATAGTGATGACTACTACAAATAGTGAGACTGGAGTCACAAAAGGAAAAACTCAAAGAAATTCTTTTGTGGGTTTTTTTTTTTTTTTTTTTAATGTATTTGGTACAGGGTCTACAAGGTCTCACTACACAGATCAGACTCGTAGTGATCTCCTGTTTTGAGCCTCCCAAGTCCTAGGATTACAGGCGCGCATGGCACGGAACTCTGGTGATTGAACCTGGCTGCTACACTCTGCCTAAGCCGGCGCTTTAGTCCACTGAGCTATCTGGCCAGCCCTACAAAGCAATTCTTGAAAATTACACCAAAAAAACTTCATAAAATTACTGAAATTATACACTTAAAAAAACTATTGTACGTCTGAGAATAACAATCCAGGATGACTATCACAAATACACAATTTAGTAAAATTATTGGGCTTCACATTACCAGATATAAGCATGCAAAATTGGTCAAAAAATTATGAAAAATTGGTCAGGAAGATAGCTCAGCGGCATAAGCACTAGCCTGGCAAGCGCAAGGTCCTGAGTTTGAGTTTCAGTACAAAGAAAAAATAAAAATTAAAAAGGAGAGAGGGAAATAAATTTAAGCATTAACTGCTCCTTTCAATAGGTCAGCAGAAATCAGCAGTATAATTATCCAAGCCATTCTGTGTATATACATGTATGTTGCTTCTTCCCTTCTTTCTTTTTTCCTTTCCTTCATCCCAGTTATTACTTCCTTTTGAACAGTTTCTTTCTAAAATGTAATATGAAATGTAACAACCCTTGTTGAATTCCTATCATTCTGTTTAGTGAAATGCTGTATCATTTCTAATTTTTTAAAATTATTTTTATCCTTTTTTAAAAATAATTAAAAATAAAAAATAATTAAAATTATTTTATTTAATCTCAAAATTACTGGGCTTTAAAAGGAAAGCAGCAAGTGCTTAACGAGAAAAAAATTAAGATTGCCATAGTTATTTGGCAGCAACACTTCATGTCAGTGAAAGTAAGGGTAACACAAGATAAAGAAATATGAACTATGGACTTTAAACTCAGCAAAATGTTCACACACAAGGAGGACAAGCGGCAGAACAAGAAATACCGTTCCCAGAAGCACTTCCTGAAAAAGTTGCTAGAGCACAGATTAAAAGAGAGCTGGGGGAAATGCAATGCGTGGAGGGCTGAATGTTTTGGGGTTTTTTATTTAATTTTTTAAAGAGAGTACAAATTAGAATCGAAACAAAAAAATTACAAGTGATACAGAATTTCACTTAAAAAGTAATAAGAATTTCACAGTATTTGTTGTAATGTATAGTGTTGTCTTCCAATCAATTACTCTTATTACCAGATAGATGCACATAAAATTGGAAGAGAAAAAAGAAATGTGTAAGAAACTAAGAAGAGAAAAAGTACAAACAATTGAAAAAAGGAGACAAAACAAATTAAAGCATTAACTGCTTCTTTCCATAGACCAGCAGAAATGCACAAGTGCAGTTGTCCAATCCTGCTTACATACATAAATAAATCTCTCCCCCACTCCCTCTCTTGTCCTTCAACTCAGTAACTCTTTCCTTTTGAATAAGTTCTTGAGATAGTGTAGGTACTGCATACCCTTAATGTAGAAAAATGAAGAGAACAAACACAAACATTTTCTTTACAGCTTATTTTAGAAATTGTTCGGTGGTGTTGTCCTGAATTTGAATTGAAAGGATCAGGATGGTCTCATGGCATTTTATAACACACCGCAAAGCCCTAGAAGCATAGACCAACTTTTATGGATCTGCATTGTGGTTTTGAAATACTTTTCCCCACTAAAGAAAGAGCTTCTTAGTTAAATGCTGAGGCAGGAAATGTCCCAGTGGGTCCTAGAACTTCTGTCACACCAAACGGTAAAAAAGCTGCAGAAGTCCACCAGATCATGTCAAAAGACCTCAGGAAACCACGCCTGTAACCCCAGCACTTGGGAGGCTGAGGCAGGAGAATCGACATGAGTTCAAGGCCAGGCTGGGCTACAAAGTAAGTTCAAGGTCAGCCTGAACTGCATAATGAAACCCTGTCTCGAAAACAAAAAAAAAAAAAAAAAGAAAGAACTCAGGAGCCCATTTGAAAAGGCTACACTGGTCAAACACAGGACAGTCACAGCTTCATATAGACTAAATAATTGCAACTGACCAGAACCATCAGCACATTAAAATTCATGATAGTAAGTCTTTTACAAAAACCCCTATGAGTTTAGTCAACTATGGAAGATGATAAGGAACAAAATTATTATTCTGATCATAAAGAAAAAAAAAGCAGTTATCCTGACTTCCCTCTATAAATTGTTTCAGTGGAAAAGCAAATAGTACAGGGTACTCTTTACAAAAACATTCCAACTAATACACGAAAAGGGTACAGTATCACCATTTGCAAACACTAATCAACTAACATCTTGTGTGTTAACAGCTACTAAGTAACAAGAGACATAAGATGCCCACTTTCACTCTCACCAGATGGACTGAAAGTGTGCTCAACCCTCTGAATCTAGCTGCCAGTTAAAGAAAATAAACACTTCTGAAAAACATGTACAACTTCACCATGAAAATGCAATCAGCAAAACCTAAACTATGAGCACTTAACAGACCAAATGTCCTCAGGTCCTCTATTTTTCAATCAGTAATCCTGAATAGGCATTCAGTAACTACTGCTTTTAGGTGAAGGAACAACACTAGCTAATCATGGACTAAACCTCTGAAATCGTTAGCTAAAAAAAGAAAAACACCTTTTCTCTTTATAAGTTGATTACCCAAGTATTTCATTTCAGTAACAGCTAACACAGCATGTTAAGGTGTATTAGGTATTAGCCACTTCACAGAATTTAATCATATGGGCTTTTTTTTTTTTCCCCCCAGAACTGGGGATTGAACTCAGGCCCTTGTGTTTGCCAGGCAAGCGCTTATTCTACTGAGCTATCTCCTCAGCCCCTAAACCATTTCTTTCTTTTTTTTTTCTTTTCATATGGGCTTTCCTAACTAGAGTTCTTTCCCTTCACATGAATTCCCTCATTTATGATGAAGTTTTGGAAACACTGTAGTTTACATGCTCAGGGTTGCCTCTGAGTAGAAGCAATAGGCTGATGGAGCTATTCTTAATGTCTGTGTCTGGCTCCCAAGCAATTACTGGCATAAAACCATATGAATGGTAGCTACCCCGGGATAGTGGCGATATAATGGCATTCTTCTCTCAATTAAGTCAACCAAACTTCCAGGGCTGGCCAAATGGCTCAGCAGATTAAAACAACTGCTTAGGCAGATGCAGGGGCCGGGGGTTCAATCCTCCTGGACTGGCATGCTGGTGCTGCCCCCACCCCCATGACAGTGCACTGAGATTGGGTGTGGTGGTGCACCCCTGTAATCCCAGCACTTGGGAGGCTGTAAACAGGAGGATCATTACAAGTCCGATCTATGTAGTGAGAGCCTGCAGACCCTGTACCAAATACATGAAAAAAAATAATTGTAAGTTAACCAAACTTTCAAAATAAACATATGGAGGACCTTGAACTCATTAGGAATATTTTTCAATCAATTACATCTTTAAAATTTACATACAACAGTCTACATTTTCCAACAGAAAATAAATGTGTTTCTTTTTAGAAATAGCTTTTAAAATATGTTTTTGTTAAATTATACAAGTCTGACAGACTTCTGTTATGATCACTCCCCCGCCCGCCTGCCCCCCCCCACACCGGGGATTAAACTCAGGATCTTATGCTTGCCAGGCAAACACTTATTCTACTGAGCTATCTCCCAGGCCCAAGACTGCTGTTAAAAGTAAAATTAAGATCATGGAACTTTAAGCAAACCAAAAATATTCCAAGCTACAGAATGTAGTCTCACAGATTGTGTGCAAAAGGATAAACACAAATCACTAAAAAAGAAATCGGATCAAAATTTGTTACCTCAGAAATGTTTTTGTCAGTTTCTTTTCTTTTTTCTTCCAGTTTCCTTTCAATGCCTACAATTCCAACAGCCCTTACTCTTCCTGGCTAGGAAAAAAAGTACAACATAAAACACCAATTAGGAAGGAAACAAAATATTTTTTGACCTACAATATGTTTTCAATGGCGGGAAAAGTCCCACAATGAACCAAAGAAAAACAACACACAATTACATCTAATTTCCTTTCAAAACATTTGTCTGTTTCTGGAGGTACATAATGATCTTTTAAATCATTAAAGAAAACCCAAATATGTAGATTTTACATATAAATTTAATTATATTTATTTTTATTCTTTGACAAATCATGTTATCTGATTATAATAGGGCCTCAAATGTACAAAAAAAATTAAAATTTTGGTACTTGATGGTTATTTTCCCAGTTACTTTCACACATTTCAGTGCCTGTCCACAGCCAGTGATTTAAACTAAGTGCTATGAAAATTAACTTTTTACCAGAACACTACAATTTTGTTTGTGGCAAGTTCTATCATCAGTCTTTACGTAAGATCTAAGTACAAAGTTAAAAATACTCGATTAGCAAATAATTTTTAAAAATACCTGAGATCCTCTACTTGTTTGCAATGACTGGGAAACTGGCATATTCTCCCATCTTCTCTGTGTCATTTCCTCTGACAAACGTCTATAAAACTGTTGTGCACAAACATTGACCACAGATGAGTTAGTAAGGCTGTGACACCTTCACAAAAAGTATTACTTAACTTTTTAGTATGTAAGTTCATTCAATTATTTGCAACAAGCCTATATTTCTGAGACATCAAAGGCAAGCAAAGGAAGTCCTTTTCTTGGACCAAGTTCAGAAAGCAGGGGGAGGGGTGGTGCTGACTGACTTTCTATATAAAGTGGACTGTTCGCAACAAAGAGATGAGTGACAATGAAATAGACTTACTTTAAACAATCCTGCATATGTGGATTGTTTTTAGTCTATAGTGAAACAAACACAGTGCCAGAGAAAATATACAACTATTTTCCACGAAGGAAACAGAATCATTCATCTAGCTAAAGTGTGAAGACAAAACTTATGGACAAAACATCCATACACTCACTAAGAAAAAAAAAATAACACTTTTCAACTAGTAAGAGTGACTGGTCTGTCACGTCTATGTATTTACTTAGGGACTGTATGATAAGCATGGTTGAGGGACCCCTGAAAACAAAACATAAATAACTTATGATGTTAATGAGAAGCACACATGTGTATGTCTGAAGTATACTTGTACAGTGACTTTCGAATCAGAACAAACATACAAACTACTGTAATCACAGCACAAGCATTGAAGTGATTAGATTTTTTAAATTAACCAAAATAGACTGCCTGATTTAAGGCTAGTGAGTTTTCAAGTATTAATTCATTTTAATATTTCCCTGCCACTCTGCTCCTTTGACCAAATTTCAGTACTGAAAACTGTTACTAGGAGCTGAGTGGCAGGCTACGTTTATTAGTATCCTACTGCCTCCGATGTGAAAAGATTTCATATGGTAAGAGCTGGTAATATTGTACAACATTGCCTTCCATCATAAAAAACACACACGCTCCTACTTTATTCCCACAGAAACTTACCTCGATCTGGCCATGTTCTTTGAAGGAGAGCTTGATATAAGAGTTCTTACTATTCTGGAATGGACCGGGTTCTTTGCTAGGAGGAGCCGGGTGCAGATGAACCACTATTTTAGCACTAAAAAAAGAGAGCACAGTAATATAAATAATTGCTTTAAAAAAATTATTACCAGAAGAAAAGTATAAAAACGAAATATAAGAAATAAAGCCATGCTGTCATGTTGAAAAATAAAAAAATGAAAAAATTTAAAAAAAATTATTAGTTCTACTTTCATGACTTTTAATATATTTCAAATCACTCTTGAAGTCATGTAGAAAGAGAATAGACTAGAAAGACATCCTTTTAAACTGTGTATTAAATTTATCATTAATGAAGCTTTCAGAAATATCTCTACTTAAAACATAAGCTTTAAACCAAAAAACTTCACATTAATAGCTACAGCTATTAAATAAGTGTGTGGCTTTATAAAACAAATCCAAAATAAATATGCAAATGAGTGGGTTATCACTAGAGTTTTCCAACACAGAGTCAGCCCCAAAGGTTATAAGGGGCCTATAACTTCTGCCAAAGCATATTATGGTTTTCACCAAAAACAAAATGGAAGAATTTATCTGTGAAACTGGCCAGCTGATATTTTATTAAAACTCCATCCAAAACTAACATTCTACAGTATCATTTGTTGGAAAATGCCACCTAATCCACAGCATGATCCAGAAAGAGACCCAATAGGAAAAACAGTGAATGTAAGGTGAAGTTTCCTGGATTGCCAGAATAGCCATCCCGGTGTATAGCTGCAGGCTGAGATGCTCCTGCTGATTCAAGTGTTGCAGAAATTTTGGCTTTATATTCCAAATGTGTGCGACTCAGACTTCTGAACAAATACTGTTGGTGTGAAGTGTTTTCTATGTAGGTCCCCCTTTAGAGTTAGCATAATTAGACTCTTTGATGGAAGTTAAACCGTGTTGAGCTTCACTAGATATGCAATGCATGACTTAATCATAACGTTACAGCAAACGTAAAAGATTGTTTTTACTGCCCCAGGAATATAAGCTATCATTATCTTTATGACTGTGGTTATCTTCTAACTATTATAAACACCACCCTATTTATTCAGCCTTTTACATCTGTTTTCATCCCCTTTTTCAACGTGCTCAATAAACAATGTTCTATAAAGATTAGAGAAACTAAAAAACACACAGTCAAAATATTCTGGATACCTTAGTTTACAGCCTTTTATGCTCACATTACAGATGAGCCTACTACAGTACTCGAATTTACTTTTTTGGGAGGCACTTGGGGGGTGTATGTTTGCCAAAATATTGCTGTAAAACTGAAACATCATGACTTGGGCCTGAGTATGAAGCATGGTTTGTTTAGTGAGCTGGGACCAGCATAAGGGCTGTTCATCTATTCCTTTGTGAATAGCTTTTAACAGCTTAACAAATAAGCCATGCTAGCAGAATCAGAAAGACTGCTTGGAATAAACCATCAAGCAGCACAACAAAACTATGACAATTGTGATAAGTTAACTGATGGTAAGCATTTCACAACCTATAAAACTAAAAACCCTTGGTCCTATTATCAGAGGAAACCCAAGGAAAAGCTACGAGATTGGACTGGGGAGATAGCTCAGTAGAATAAGTATCTGCCTGGCAAATGCAGGGTCTTGAATTCAGTCCCCACTACCAAATAAACAAACAAACAAACAAACAGAAAAACTACAAGATTATGATACCAAAAAAAAGAGATTATGATACAAAATGAAGCTAAAAAATTCCAAAGGAAGGGAAGGCCAAATAGCTCTGCAGATTAAAGGCAGGCACAAGGGCCGGGGATTCATCCCTGGAGCCTACCATGCTAGCCCCACTCCCAAGGCGTACTGAGATGGCAACTGAGACTGGGCATGGGGGCGCATGCCTGTAATCCCAGCACTTGGAAGGCTGCAAACAGGCAGATCACTACAAGTCCGATCTAGTTGTGAGACCCTGAACACCCTGTAGATCCTTCTCTAAAAAATTAAAAAAAAAAAAAAACTCCAAAGCAAAAAAAATTCCTATTAATTTTTCATATGGAATTTTTCATGCTTTTTAAAAAATTTTCTTTAAATCTTTCACTTATTTGATATAGGATCTCACTACACAGCTCGGACTCATAGTGATCATCTTGTCTCAGCCTCTCCAGCACTGGGATTACAAGCATGTGCCACCACACCCAGTTTCAGTAGCTAGCACAGCACACGTAGGGTTTTGGGGTTGGCATGGCATGTGGTACTGGGGATCGAACACCGGTCCTTGCACTTGCCAGGCAGGCACTTAGACCATCAAGCTATCTCCCCAGCCCCTTCATATTTTCTTTTACTAAGAAAAATATGAGTCATTCAATTACTAATTTCATCAAATTTAAAATCTACAAAATGAAAAGAATATCCTGAATCCAAAAGCTGCTAAAAGTTACAAGCTGGGTATGCAGCTAAGTGATAGAGCACTTGCCTAGCATTCAGCAAGGCCTTAAATTCAATTCCTAGCACTACAAAAAAAAAAAAAAAAAAAAAAAAAAAAAAGTTAAAAGGTGAAAAACATAAAATAAACCCAAGTGAGGTAGCACATGCCTATGATTTTAGCATTCTCAAAATTTAGGCAAGAGAATGACAAGTACAAGGACAGCCTGGGGTACATAAGATCCTGTCTCAAAAAAAAAAATTCTTTTAAAAAGTGAAAAACGTCTTTAAATTTATGCAATTGTGATAATTATATGAGGGTAGGGGCTAGAAACCAAAGAGAATACATGAAAAAAAAAAAGTTAACCTGCTTATTCTTCCTCAGTGGAGATGTTTTTAAAAATAAGACACTATTTTGAATGTAAATATTCTAAATATTTCTATTAAAGAGTTTATATTACTCTTGGAAGACAGAGGAAAAAAATCAATTGACCTAAAATATTCTTAAAAGGTTTTCTTTACAGAATAAGACTTAAAAAATGAAGAGACATATAAATTGCACATAGAACATCATGATCTACTCCAAAAACCAATGGGCTATTTATTTTCCAAGTGTTGGTTAGCTTCTTTCAGCTACATAAACAATCTTTTACGTTTGCTGTAACGTTATGATTAAGTCATGCATTGCATATCTAGTGAAGCTCAACACGGTTTAACTTCCATCAAAGAGTCTAATTATGCTAACTCTAAAGGGGGACCTACATAGAAAACACTTCACACCAACAGTATTTGTTCAGAAGTCTGAGTCGCACACATTTGGAATATAAAGCCAAAATTTCTGCAACACTTGAATCAGCAGGAGCATCTCAGCCTGCAGCTATACACCGGGATGGCTATTCTCCTGGCAATCCAGGAAACTTCACCTTACATTCACTGTCCAATTATGAATTGTGCCTCTTATTACTCTTGTAAACATCCAGCTTTGCAAAGTAACTACCATGGCACTAATTCTGATAACGGGACAACTCAAACTTGAAAGATAACCTATTACGCAGATGGAACAGTATCAGTCAGTGAACTTTCTTTCTTTCTTTTTTTTTTTTTTGCGGAACCGGGGATTGAACTCAGGTTCTTGCGCTTGTCAGGGAAGTGCTTAATTCTACTGAGCCATCTCACTGGCCCCCCAGTTAGTGAATTTTCTCAGATGGGTCAGCTCTGATGTGAGGACCAAGCAAGACAGCAACTTGGGAAGGCAACCATTTGTGGAAATAGACGATGAGAGCACGACCATATTTGTTCATTCTGACCAAAGGTGTTACTCCATACATAGAGAACAATCTAAGGTGGGAACTAGCAGTACGAAAGGTGCACTTTTGTGAAGGCTGTGATGTGCGGACCTCACCTCTTCCCAATTCCAGCTGACTGTTCCTCGATGAACACAATCTGGGACAAGGGAATGGCCATGCAGCACTCCTAGAAGAAGAGCGGGAGAAGGCAAGACCCTCACCTTGACAGGAGTCCTTTCACAGTGTAAGCGTGCAACGTATCTTTAAGAGATTTGATCACAACATTTAAAAATAACAACGTTGTCTTATTCTTTGAATAAGCTTAGGGAAAAATTAAAGATTGTGGTGGATTTTGCTATGTGGAAAAATATAAAAACAGCTATAACAACCTTTTTTTAATAGTGGACGTATTTTTTCTTTCTACATTTTTTATTAGTGCATTTTGGTTATACAGATTAATGAGTTTCATTTTGGCAGATCTGTACATATGCCTCCCAAACTTTAATCATTCCCTTTCTACCACCCTTCTTGTTCCACCCACCTCCTGTTTCAGATTTTTAAAGGGTGAAAATTTCAATGCATATGTTTTGATCATATTCATACCCTACTGGGTATATTTTCTAAAATTAATGCATAAAAATTTCTCACATACAATATTTTCTTACATGGAGATAAAATAAGTTTTAAAGGGTACATCATAAGGGTGATATTTTTCTTCTGCTTTGCAATTCTTCGTATTTTTCCCATATGTATAAACACACAATTTTTAACAGAAAATACTGATGTAGATTTCCTTATCAGTACATATGATTTTTACATTGATTATACAAGGCCAGGTGTGGTGGCGAATGCCCCAGTTACTCAGGAGGCTGGGGTAAGAGCTTCAGCAACATACTTTGTCTCAAGGGGAAGGGAAAAAAAAAATGTATATATATATATACTGGATCTAAGAATTCTTTCAAATTTGCCACTTATTCTAAGATCAGTTTATCAACATATGGTTAAAGGATTCCCTATTCTCCAAATGATTTCTATGGTGTGTGTTTTTACTCACAAAAAATTAGAGAAAATTAACAGGATATGAAATTTAATATTGATGGGGGGATTACAGTCCTTAAGGGAGCAAAACTGGTTCCCAAAAGGCAAAAAGTGAGATAGTACAATGGTTAGTGGTCTTTCAAAAGGTATGGTATATTTTTTATATATGGTTTTTATTAAAATTCCATAAAGAGGGGGCGGGGAGATGGCTCAGTGGAATAAGCGCTTCCCTGGCAGTGAAAGGGTCTGAGTTCAACCCCCGGTTCAGCAAAAAAAAAAAAAAAAAAAAAGAAAGAATAAAATTCCATAAAGGCTGTGGTACAGTGCTGTGGCAGAGGACATACTTAGTCTGGTAAAGCCCTAGGTTTTATTTATTTATTTACTTATTTATGTAGTATTTTAGGGAAGGGTGTTCAGGGTGTTCAGGGTCTCACTACTAGATCAGACTCATAGTGAACCGCCTGTTTACAGCCTCCCAAGAGCTGGGATTACAGGTGCGTGCCACCACACCCAGTCTCAAGCCCTAGGTTTTGAACCCCAACACTCAACAAAAGAAAAAAAAAAAAACACAGCAGGGAAAGTGATCAAGAAAATAAACAGCTATTAGAGCTCACTTTCTGCCACTTTCAGCTATAGGATATATACTTTCAAGTTAAAACCCTTTGAAATAAAGGTATCAGCTCTCTCTATGCATACCTTATTTTCCATATCTAGAAATTATAAAAACAGGGGCCGGTGCTTCCCTCTTTTAGAGTGACCTGGAGGCAGCTTTTCTTGGTGCTTAGGTGAGGGCACACAACAGACTCCCCTCCTGATTCCCAACAACTATCAGGGATGGTGGATAACTGGGAGAACACAGGGCCCTCCACCACAGGCAGGGTGTGCCCTTGCTATCCCCCACACGTCAGGTATGAGGTAGAACCTGACCAGTGTTTAAAAATAAGAAGTCACCGGGATTCTCCATCCAGTAACTGCAGACTTCTCTGGTGCCAAGTGAGGGAAAATAGTCTTTAGAGAGATTAACATGAGACACATTTCTGATATTCTGAAAAGGAAAGTATGCTATATCAATTTATAGTTTTTCCAAAGTGGGAGAAACATCATTTAAAATGCACAACAAATGGCCAGAGGTGGGCTCAGTGCTACAGTACTCACCTAGCACATACAAGGCACTGGGTTCTATTCCCAGCACCACCAAAAAATAAACAAATACATAAAACCCGGAACCGATGTCAAATCTGTATCTTACATGATTTTTTGGATCTCTCCAAATCAGTCGGTGCGTACTAAGGAGGAGGGTCCCAGCATCAAATTTTATCTAGAAAGGTAAGAATATAAAACACTGTCACTCACTGTTGTCCAGATTTTCTTTCTCATTAATTACACAATATGAAGTTAAATCATAAACATTTTCAAATTAGATATATCACAAATTAAAAAGAATTTGGGATACACTAAGTCACAAAAACATACTCTGTAAATGTAAGGTATATAAGGCCAGCATAAACTGCATAGTGAGACTGTCTCAAAAACGACAAAAAAATAAAATTAAATAAAACCAAGTTATACAGATACAGCCAGGGTACAATTAGAGAAAAGTTATAAACAATCTAGTTTATATCTTTTGCATAATGGGACCCACACAAAGCTTTAAAAAGAGACAAGGTAGAACGGTTACATGTTGACATGAAATCCAAGAGTTGGTGAACAAAAGTAATTTATTCTGTATTATACATAATATAATCTCTAAACAGCATGTTTATAATGTAGCCACATCCATATGCACGGAAAAGACAAAAGCCTAACAGGAATACACAGTGAAACATTAATGAGGGGAATGTTATAATGTGGTTGATAAACTATTGACAAGAAACCTACTGGGGGCCTAGGAGATAGCTCAGCAGCTTAAGTGCCTGCCTGGCAAGTGCAAGGCCCTGAGTTCGATCTCCAGCACTGAAAAAAAAAAAAAAGAGAAAGAAACCTCCTGAATGATCCAGCTTAAATACACACTATATAAGACACTTTCTACTGCAACACTTTTTTTTTTTTCTGTTCTTTCCCTTTTTTGGTAGCAGGAGTTCAACTCAGAACCTCGCACTTACAGGCTGACACTTAGCTGCTGGGCTCTATCCCCAGCTAACACTTTGATTCAGCAGAGAAAAGCCCTTCCAGGTCCATGTCTTTTTCTGAATCATTTTTTTAAAAACAAAAAGCAAATATTCCCAGCACTTAATCAGGCTGGTTTCAGCTGAGTTAAAAGTGTTTTAAAATTACTTTTGCAAATGAGATACTCTTTTCCCAAAAGCAAAGGTTAACAATTTTATGAACTTAAATTACACTGCAGGAAAAAACAGTTCTTCTGGGGTTTTTTTTGTTTGTTTTCACCTTTTTCAGGGAGGGTCTCAGGCTGGCCTTGAACTTGCAATGATCCTCCTGCCTCAGCACCCCCAAACACTGGGATTACAGATATGTGCCACCAACACAATAGTTCTGATCTACACTTTTTTTTACTGAAATCCAACCATAAGGATATGAATTCAAGTTCAAGTCTGAGCATGTTCCATTGCTATGTCAGTTAACAATACGCAAACAAAATATTGCTGCTTGGGCAGGCCAGACATATCGCTCAGTGGACTAAAGCACCTGCTTAGGCAGAGCGCAGTGGCAGGGGTTCCATCCCTGGTGTACCTGCCAGCTCCACCCCATGGGCACGCTGAGACAGCAATTGAGAATGGACATGGGGCGCACGCCTGTAATCTCAGCACTTGGGAGGATGAAAACAGGAGAATCACTACTAGTCTGATCTACATAGTGAGACCGTGTACACCCTGTCCTAAATTCATAAAATTAAAATAAAATATTGCTGCTTTAGGTGAAGAAACTGTGGCACAGTTCCCTTCAGGGGTTCCAGTGTGTTATGATGCGTCTAGATGTCCCCCCAAAGCTTCATGCAGTCACAGGGCCTTTTCTAAAGTGGTTGAATCTAGAGGGTACGATGCTGGGATTAAGGATGCGAGTGCTACACTCACCCTAGGGCAGGTAGCCTGCACACCACATAGGGGCACGAAGAGTCTTGTCTCCCTCCTCCCTTGTTGCTTTTGCCATCATGTGAGCATGATGAACTGTCTTCTGTGATGCCCCTCTGCCAAGCCACTCTATCCTGGAGCCAGCTGATTATAAACTGAAACCTCTACCACTGTGAGCCAAAGCCCTTCCTCCCTCCACTTTGGGTATTGGGGTATTTCATATCAGCAATGAGAGAAAAGTAACTAAGACACAATGGATTATGACCTAAACCTGATAGACAAGTTTAGGCTGATTGATTTGTACCACTCAGAGCCAGAGTAATTTTAACTACTTGAAAGTTAATCAGACTTAGGCACTTGCTGAGTAACGTCTTACCTCTTTCAAGGGTTTTTTAAAATAACATTTTTATGTTATAAAAGTAATACATGCTCAATGTTGAAAAATCTAGAAAAAATCTGATGTCTAAAATAAAAACTGAAGTCACTGATAATTATACCCCAAAGGTGATACATAAATGTATGGATCAGCTTTAATAATAAGATTATGTGTACGGTTTCACAATTTTTTATGTAGTACTTCCTGGTTAGCAATTCTTCTTGCTAAATCAGGCCATAATTCAACTAATTAATTTCACTGGTAGACATTCAGACTGCTTCCAATTTTCCACCATGTGATACTACGTACATAATCTGAGATAAGCATCCTCACAGGTAATATTTTTAGGCATCCCTCATTATTTCCCAGAAATAAGTTCCTAAAAAGTGCACTCGCTAAAAGGGAATATTTCATAAACCTAGTACACACTGCCAGCTTTCCACATCACACATTACTAATCTTCTCACATTATTTAATAAATTAACTGAGGCTACAGAAGCATCTGTGAATTGAAACAAATGACCTGTCTATATTGCTTATGAAAGCAATGCATTATCCACCATAATGGGCCCATGAAATCTGTGCAGGTACAAACAAGCAGGCACACATTAATTCACAAAAGGCACTGAGGTGGTGGGGGGAACACAGTCCCGGAGCTGGCTGGAAATCCACGTTGCACCACTTGCTAGCTGTGTGACCTGGGTGGCTCACAACTTTCTCAATCTCAGCCAGGGGCTGCAGCTTCATCTCTGGAAGGGTCAGCTAGATGAACATTTCTGAAGCTTCTGGCTTGGGGGACTATTATTTTCTGAGGTGCTTCAGGATCCAAGAAAACAGGCTGGGATGGGGCTGGTGAGATGGCTCAGTGGTCTAAAGCACCTACTTAGAACAAGCTTAGCAAAGCACAGCACAGGGACCGCGGTTCAATCCCCCAGCACCACATGCCAGCCAGCCCCCCCCCCTGGTGGGCTGAGCTGGCCACACACACACACACACACACACACACGTAAATAAATAAAAATTTATAAATATATAAAAAAGAAAACAGGCTGGGAGTCTCATCAATGCAGATTTACACGCTATCTCCCCTCTCAGCACACCTCTCTCTGAACGTACCTCTCTCTCTGAACGCATCTCTTCTTATTCACTAATCTGTTGAGAAGTCCAAAGGAGATCACAAGAGCTCCTAGCATGGAGTATTCACTTTATTCATTCTGACTTTTTTTTTTTTTTTTTTTGAGGTACCAGGGATTGAACCTGCGATCTTGTGCTTGCCAGGCAGGCACTTATGCCACTGAGCTACCTCCCCAGCCCTGATTATTATTATTTTTTTAATGTGTTTCACACCCACTATACACCAAAGGACTAAGGCACACTTTGTCTCCTGGATCTTGCAGCTGGCCCGAATGGGTGCATGAGGGAGGGAGGGCATACCCGCCCTGGAATGTGCCGCCCTGCATAGCTGTGACAGTTCAGCAGCCTAGCTGCAGTATCGGTCCCAGGGGGCTGATGTGCAGCCTTACCGCATCTTCAGCAGGGCTGGAAACCTCCGCAGATGGAAGAAGCAAGGACATAACTCTTTCCCACAGGTATCAGGTTATTGGTCACAGCAGGGACGAAGCACTTTACAGACATCTCAGGAATGACACAGTGTGACTAGCACAAGGGCACGGGGTGAGGGGTCCCTCTGAGAGGTCTAGTTTAGTTTTGAGACACCTACAACCCTCCATCAAGGCTCCCAGCTTTCAGAAGAGTTACCTCTGATACTTACATACTTGTCTGCTAAAATAAACAGCAAAGACTTTAAAGTAGAAATTACAACTTGCTGTTCAACAATAGACGTTCACACGCAGGTAGTATCAATTGGGATTTTACATTGATTACCCCAGAGCCACACCGTCTGCAGCAGGCCTTGCTGCTTCTAACTTTATACTGGTTACCCACAGCCAATGTTCAAGGGAAGGTATGGGAGGAGTCTGAGGACCCATGTCCTCCTCAGCCTTCAGTTCAGTTTAGGATGGGAGCAGATTCAAATCCAGTAAGATGGGGCGGTGTTAAGGCTGCCATTTAAAAAAATTCCAAAGAGTTATGTCAGGTAAGAAAAAAAAAAAAAAAAAAAAAAAAAACAGACAAATTTGACCTGTCATGCCAATCAAAAGACATGGCTCACACCTCTAATCTCAGCCTGGCTCACTCCTCTGATCTCAGTCTGTAATCCAAGCACTCAAGAGGCTAAGGCTGAGTGGGTCAATTGAGTTCCAGTCCAGCCTGGTCTTCAAAGTAAGTTCAAGGCCAGCCAGAAAATCATAATGAAACCCTGCCTCAAAAAGACAAAAGAGACAATTTAGCCAGGAGTGGTGGCGCCGGCCTGTAATTCTAGCACTTGGGAGGCAGAGGCAGGAGGATCATTGTGAGTTTGAGATCAGCCAGCCAGGGGTAGACCGTGAGTTCAAGGACAACCTAAACTGCAGAGCGAGACCCTGTCTCGAGGGAGAAAAAACAACAACAACATACAATTTGAGATCAAAGTAATAAACGGCTAAGGAAGTAAATTAAAGCCAGGCAAATCATGTAAGAAAAAGACCTCGACTCTAAGGCAACAGAGGCCATGGAAGTTGCCCTAAGGAGGAAGTCGGGGCCCGGCTTCCACTTCACCTGTGGCTTTAGAGAGCTTTAAGCACCAACCAGGTAAAGCTCTGGGTCAAGAAACGTACACCCACGTCCAGCGGGGCGCGGACAGAGCCAGGATAACTGGCAGCTAACAATGCTTGCGGATAAACGTGCCCACTTTCCCCCTAATTCCAACTTACACCTTTCATTCTGGACAGGACATTCTGTAGTTTCATCTAAGTACTCACAAAATACTTACATTCTATATTCTCGCCCCAACTTGAAAAACCATTTCCTAAGAC